ACCTTGCACCGTGTTAATTGTTTTCTTTCCTCTCAATTACATTCATAAACCTATTTTCTGCATTGCACGTTATTTCTTTGTGCTTCAAAATTGAAACCACGTGCAGCCTTCTCCCCTCAGCGCACACAATAAATACGCTGCCCCCTCCCCCAACCCATCACACAACTATTTACATCTTGGTTACTCACTCTGCGCTCCGGCCCAGGAGAAGAGATTGGCCCCGCGGGACTAGGTGAGGCTTTGTGAAAGCATCTCTCAAATCCGTATCTCGGCCCCCTAACTCGGGGAGAGGCTCCTGAGCTCCCCTCCCGGCCTCCTCCCACCCCCTCCTCGCACAGGTGGTTGCGGCTTACTCTGGGAGAGCTAGCAGGGAGGACATCTAGGGAGAAAGGCAGCTCAGCAGTATCCTGCCGGGCCCGCCCGCTGCCCTGCCCACACCCTGGCCTGCCGGCCGCCGGGGGTCAGCGGTGGCGGCGAGCTCGTCTCCACTGGCCCCTGGTCCACGCGCCGTGGGCGCAGCGGAAACTGCGTAGGGAGCGGCCGCTCCCCTGGGAGCCTTCCAGACCCAGGTTCTCCCAGGCAAAGAAGTCCCACCATAAATAAATAAATAAAGTCCAAAGGCGGGGGGAGGGAGAGCTGGAAAATGGATTCGCTGACAAGGAGAGATAATAAATGAGAGGCGCTTTCAGATAGATATCTCAGACGTGAAATTGCGCCCAGCTGGTTGTGTAAGCAAACAAATAGTTTCATGTTAGGAACTCTCAACTTGTGGCTTGATGAATAGAACACGACAGAGGTAAATGGGTCTTTAACTCATTTAGGAATACAACTCTTTGGCTTTCCAAGTAAAAGGCCCAGTGACGCCACGAATCCTGAGCAGGCCCTCTAACAAGAGTTTTATTAGTTCCCACTTGTGTTTCCCTGAATCCCCTCCCCACGCTTCTTCACGGTTTCCCATTGCAGAGACATTCAGGTGATTTGTTCTGAGGAATCGAGGAGCTTACGAGGTGATTCTGCCACTGTAGGAGATACAAGGACTGCCTACGAGCGGAGTGGGAGAAACAGGATTTTTTTAAAAATAAACTTTTGCACACTCCAAGCAGACGGGCTCAGGTAGGCTTGGGTGCAGGGGCCTCCAGATCCCCAGCGCCCCTGAGCGCAAAGTTGGGCGGAGGGGCTTCCAGGAGCGAGCGGAGGCCCTTTGCGGCTGCCAGAGACCAAACGCCTGAACCGACCGAGGTGCAGAGTTCCGGAAGTCCAAGGTGGTCCTGGTGGCCGGGAGGGAGGCCGATCCCCAGCCCCGGGCTTCTGCCAGGCCTGGCCTCAGGTTGGGATGTGCATGTCGGGGCAAAGGTCATATTTTAAGTCCTTTGCGCCAGTCCTTGTCCCTCTGCGGCAGACGAGGCGCAGCTATAGTCCCTAGAAATTGCCGGAGGACAGCAAGTCCCAAGACAGCCTTTTTTGATGCTTTCAGCAAAGTTTGTGGCTAAAGTAGTTTAAACCGACTTCAAAGCCCCTAAAATTCTCAACGTTTGATTTTCATATGTCACAGGTAATTTCCAGAGGGAAGTCACCTTGTGTGGGACACTCTCCAACTGTTAACATGGGCTTCCTCTGACCCTGGGGGGGGGCCCGTCGGTTCTACCCGGCCCAGTTCGCCCAGCCCCACTCTCCTGAGTCCTCCAGCGGACTTTCTGGGCTACACCTGCCTGCGGCCTCACACCTGGGTTCCAGGGCTCCCCCTGGCGCTTGGCTCTAAGGTGGCTCAGTGCTCAGGGGCCTCCGGGCAGCCACCCAGGCAGAGGAGACTCCCACCTGCTCCTCGTGGCCTTCTGCCCAGCGGCTCCAAGGGTCTGAGGTGGCACAGGATCCTGAGGGGGCACCCCGGCCTCTAGTGGGCTGTTGCTCCACACTGCGAGGGGCCCCCGGGCCGCTCGGCCCTTAGCTCCCCCACCATGGCCACTGGTCAGCCCGGCCAAGGAGATTTTAGATGGCCGGGAGCGGAGACGACGCTTCCGGTTTGTCGGAAGCTTCATCCAGTGGCTTAGATGCCTGTCTCAGTTCGTAAACCTTCCCTTAGCCCGAGCAGATTCATGGGGCCCAACTGCGCGCTCTGAGAATGGAAAGCCTCGGGTTGCAGACAGCCTGCCCTGCTCTGCAGGGGCATCCACATGGCCCCGGGGAAGGCTCTATCTCTCTGGCTGAGACACACAGAGAGCTCTGAAGATGACTGTCTCTCTGTGTTTAATGCAGGCGGGGACTACCCCAGCCACCAAGGAGAGAGCGGAGGAGAAACCCACTGCCCGCAGATCCCAGAAATGGCCTCTGAGCATCTCTCGCTCGTCCCCAGGGCCTCCTGGTTCCTAGACCAAACCTGTGAGGGAGTCTGTGAGGCCACAGGAAGCCCTGCTTTTCTTCCTATGCTGTGCTGGTCACCCCCCCACCCCTGCCAGCTTAGGCCCAGGCTTAGAAAGGTCACTGGGATTGCCCAGGCTGTAGGCTGTTGAGCAAGAGACAAGTTAGCACTGTCAACTCTGAGCCCCGGAAACAAGTGCTTCCTACACCCTGGGCCTCGGCTTCCCGGCCAATCCCACTTTGGGTGCCTTACGCTTGGGCCTCCATATTGAAATTAATTGAAAAATACGTTTCTGACCTATGAAAATGTTGAACTGTTTTCATCAGAGGGAATCACACTGTAATGAATATATTTACATCTCATTTCAAGAAAGGTAGGAAAGATGGGTGAGTGCTTGGAGGCAGCTCGGCTCCCCTCAGCAGCCCCCTGCAGCAGCCCAGCCCACCCTAATCCCCCCACTCCCGGGAAGGCTCCCTGAGACTTCCTGGGGGGCGGTCAGTGGTTAAATACGAGTTCTTCCCACACTCCTCCTGCCTTGGGTGCCCAACCTGCAAAGAAGTCAGCCTAGACCCAAAACCATCGCCCCTGGGTGTGGTGCAAAGGATGAGGCCCAGGGCCGGGTGGGACTTGCTGGAAGGGAGGAGGGCCCCAGGGGCTGCACACCCCACATACCCTATCCGTCTAGCTGCCTTAGGGCTCGGGCCGGTCCGGTCCCCAGGCGGACCCGCAGGGTCTTCTTCACAGAAAGCGGTGGCATTGCCAGGCTGCTCTGCCCCCAGAATATTAAAACCTTAGGTGGACTGGAGCTTGTTTATGCATTTTTAAAGGGGTGAGGCCACCTGGAGACTTCTAGACCGCAAATTGAGAGCAAAACTTTGCCACTGACTTCAGAAAGTAAAGCTCTTGCCTCATCCGTGCCTGTTTGGGGCCGGGGGAGAAAGTGAGGGAAGAGGTGAAGAGGTGTTACTTTAAAAGGCCTGGCTTTATTAATATGTTAAGAAAAAGCTCCCTTGGCAATATGTGTTCTCACAGTGCCAACTTGGATCCTATAAAACATTCATGCTCCGAAAGCTGTTACAGAGAGCAGAGACCCACACACACACCAAAGGGGAGACCTCAGCAGGAGGTTGCTGCCCTGAAAGGGCCACTAAGACTCACACACACCGCCTCTGGAAAGAATCTGCTCCAGCCCAGCTGCTGGACTCCCAGGTTCCAGGTCCACACTCCTAAGTGCCACAGTGGGGCCCTTCCAGATGCCCCACAGAGCTAGAGGGCCCTCCCGGGAAACCCCTGTGACAGGGTCTGGAGTGAAGGGCAAACTGTAGCCAGATATAGCGGACCACAGGAGGAGCAAAGCCAGGGCTCACAGCTGAATCCCCAGCTCTCTCTCCCAGAGCTGGGAAGAGGCTGACCCTCCAGTCACAGATGAGACGCAGAGGTGTCAGAGTGGCCCTCTCCATGCTGAACCTCCCACTGTCAGGGCTCCATCCTCTCCAGCCAGGCAAGTTCCCACCTGCAGATACTGAAGCAGGCAGCGCAGAGACTCAACTCCGAGGGACCGGGCCTGCTCCAGCCTCCTGGCCAGCTGTGTGCTGGCTGCCCACCACCTACAAGGTCACAATGGCTGCTGCCGGCACCGAAGTGCCCTGCCACCCACTCCCCACTCTGTCCCATGCAGAGCCTGGCCTTCCGCATTTACAAAACCAAAGCAGCTGCTTGCTTTTAGGAAATAAATCTAGCCAACTTGGTAATGGACCTTAAAAGTTTTCCCCCTCACCCCGCCATTCTAATAATAATTGGAGTGGAAATTAATTGGACGGTTCTCTTGCACTGATGACATCTGTCAAGCAACCAGACACGTGGGTTTTGCTAAATTCTTTTATTTTTTGTTTAAATTTTCACTTCAATTTTAATTCTTGAAGAACAGCCTCGACAACATATATCGCACTCATTATAAGAAGCAAAGGGTTATATCAAAAATTATTAGTATAGAATCACAGGAAATCTGGTTTGGAACCAGAAAAAAATACAAAACAGATATAGATACATAGACACAGGACAATTTTTTTTAATAATTATTTGGAAAATGTTATTTTCCCCTAATTCTTGTTTCTTTTTTATGTGCATACGATGTTTAAATTTTACAAAAAAATGAAAATAAAGACTAGTATTTTACAAAATGAATAACAGTGTGTGTGTGTGTGTGTGTGTGTGTGTGTGTGTGTGTGTTTCTACATAGGATTCGGTCCACTTCCATGTGTGTTGTTGTCTGTACAGAATATATCCACATCTGTCCACAATAAATCCTGGAAGGTCCGTTAGTCTCCTTCTGTTTTATTAAAATTTTCATGGTCCTCTCTTCCAAATTTTTTTCTTTCTCTCATCAGACACAAGGTCTTTTTCCTTTCCTTTCCAACGTGTCCACAGATCTGACACTAAAAAGAGTCTCTTTTTCTCCTGGTTTGCAGCTCGGGTTGCATTTCTGCACGGTGGGCTGCTCCTGTCGCCCTGGCCCTCCTCCCCGCTGCCCGGCCCACTGCACCCTGCATCGGCCGCCTGGTGTCCCCGCGGCATTGGAGTCCACGGCCCCCCGCCGGTCCTGTGAGTCTCTAGGGGGTGGGGGCAGGTGGGAAGCGCCCAAGGTCTAGGAGCACTGGATAGACATGTAAGGCCAGTTGAAGCTGCTCCCAGACAGTAACATATCGCGGATGAGAGTTTCGATGGGGGTTTTACCTACCAAACGGACGAAGAAGAGCTGCTCGATGACCGAGGAGGATACGGTGCGCAGCGAGGGCAGTCGTAGTAGCAGTTTGCCGAAGCGGCTGGGCTGGTTAGGGTACTGGCTCCTCACGTACTCCTCCAGCGCACACTGCGACTTCTCCTGCAGGCTCTCGATGTGGGCGGCGTCCGACAGGCCACAGGCATCTGCCCAAGCAGCCACCGGAAGGAGAGACAAGGGGAGGGGGCACACGGTTAGGTCAGTGGACAGCAAAGTCACAAACAGCAAGCCGTTCTTTTTTTTTTTCTTTTAAAGAGCAAAGGGGAAAAAATAGAAATAGGAGGAAGAAGAAAAGAAATCCTCCCCGCCATGCCTCCCTCTACTCCTTCACTATTTCCTTCCCCCGGCCCCCAACACAAATACAAACAAATCAAACTCCCACCAGGCCTGGGGAGCTGGAGAGACAGACACACACTTGAAGAGGCAGCAACCTCTCTAGTCCCTTTGTTTCTCCTCTTTCACCTTTGGATTAAATAATGTACGATGCTGGAGCCATGTTTGCTGTACACAGCAACCTGTCCTCCACCTTCAGGGGAGCATCTTTTCCGTTGTGCTCACTTAAGGGAGGATTTCTGCCCCTTCTGCCCCTGGTTTTGGAGTATTCAAGAGCCCTGACTAAATATGCAGCCTGGAGGCAGTTCTAAAATACTTCTTGGGGTCCCCCTCTCAAAGCTAAATGACCCCAAGCAGAAACCTCAAGGAGAACCTAGATTGTATAGTGAATAGACACATGCGAGGGGGTAAGAAATCATAGGCTGGCAGTGCCTGGCATCAGATCAAGCTCATGCTTTGGCAATATAGGATTTGTGATCCACTCTCTATGCAAGCAAGAACTCTGCAGCAAATCCTCAGCCAGGGTGAACACTTCTATCTGTGCCTTAGATCACATAATTGAAAATTGGTCACATCTCTGTAAGCTGTATGATAATCAGAAGGAATATGGCTCAGTTACTCCAGGCTGCAGAAAGGAGACAACTTCAGCGATCAGACACAAAGCTGGACTGGAGGCAGCTGCTGTTTCTGCTTCAGAACTGGGAGGTGGGGAGTTGAGGGGGGATTTGGGGAGATAGGCTTGCTGTGGCAGGACCTATACACAAGGAAACATCTCAAAACCTGTGTGTTTAATCTCACATCAACCAAGGGCTCTTCTTGGTCTACTAAAAATATTTCAAGACAGCAGTTTATACTGTATCAACTAACTAGAGGCAAGCAAATGGAGGGGAAGGTGGAATCAGAGGAATGAAGTGAAGGCTTCCTCTCTTGGTTCAAACAGCCATGTTGTTTCCTGTATTAATAATAAATATTTTAAAAACAGGAAAATCACAGAGGAGCCCTTAGCCAGTCAGGAGGTCGACAAGAGATCAAAGGCAGAGTTTGCTAATATATAGATCTGGAAAGAAATTCATGCATGGCAATGCCCCCAAAAGGACACTGTATAATTGTGAATGGGTAAGTGTGACCCTAAGAAGACACAGCAAATGATTCAAAGCGAAAACTGGGTCTGCTGAGTTTCCGAGCTTTATGTCTCTGTTTCAAGAACTGGGATTTGTAAAGCATTCTAACACCTTCATCTACAAGGCTATGGCCTTGAGCAAAAATACAAATAAAACTAGTGATAATTCAGGAACTTCTGAGGCAGGTCTCCTTTGACCCCAGATCCAGATTGGGTTCCTGTCAGATGTCTAATTACTCTAGCCAGCCATTTGGGTGCAGCCACACTAGCCTGACCTGGGAAGTCAGTGAGATTTTATGGCTAGCAGGATGAGGGCAGGAACAGTTTGGGGCTTCGATGCTTAGAGAGGGGACCCTGAGGGGCTGCCCTTGGCTTTGCTTCCTAACCTGGTCCTG